AAGAAATTACTATATACTTGTTACCAGATGTATGAGAAAATGCCCACAGGGTTGAGTCCTGAGATTGCCTACTTCAACCAGGCTCCTGGAGCACCTGATGATATTATTGTCAAGGTAATTTTCTTGATGTTTTTTTGTTTTCTGAATGATTGTCTTTTTAATAATAAATAAATGGAAATTTTGAAAAAAATTTTTCCCATCTCAAGCCCTTTGAAAAGATGGGCTTATTTCAGTTGAAAATACAGAATTTTGTTCACTAAGAAATGTCTTTATAAATAAAAAATGTTTGCCTTGTTAATCCCATGCTTATTAATATTAAGGAGTTATTTATATGTAACATCACTATTATAGTCAATTATACAAGTATGTCTCTGTATTTTATAGCCAGCTGATCGCCACAATCTCCTGAGGCCAGAGACAGTGGAGAGTTTGTTTTACATGTATAGATTTACTGGAGACAAAAAATATAGAGAGTGGGGATGGAAAATTTTCCTAGCTTTTGAAAAATACACAAAACTAGAAGAAGGCTACACATCTATTAGTAATGTCATGGATGTGCGTAACCCAAGACCAAGAAACAAAATGGAAAGTTTCTTTCTTGGGGAGACTTTGAAATACTTTTATTTATTATTTAGTGATGACCCAAATCTAATACCGTTAGACAAGTATGTGTTTAATACAGAAGCTCATCCATTGCCTATTTATTCTTCTTTGTGAAAAAAGTTAAATTGTCTTTAGTCTTTCATTTTAAGCAGTATTCATCATGTTTTCAAATGCTTTTAAGAACTGTTGATAGAAAGAAATTGTTAACAACATTTCTTTCAAACCAAATTTACATTCTCCTGTGACACTTTCTATGCATTTTTTTTTTGCTTTGTACTGGAAAGTGTCTGGATTTTTTGAAAAATTGATTATGTGCCAGCTTTGCTGTCTAGTATCTGTATTATAATATCTCTTCCAAAGAGGTTTGCCGTTGACACCCCATGAACCTCTCTAAAAATACATTTTTTCTGCACTATGTTGTACAGTAATACTGTATTGCAATTTAGATAGACATCAGTTAAATAAGAGTTCAAATTCAGCTGAAGTTATTCTCCAGGCAATATTTTTGTATGATAGTATTGACAATGGTGTATCAGTGATGATAAAATAATGGCAATCGAAATATTATACCAAAAAATTCAGATAAGGAAATTTTTGAAAAAACAAAGCATGTCAAGAGATTCAAGTTAGTGATCTGATCTGATACTGTGATTACTGGTTGTTAGGTAAACTAAAATGCTAGAGTGAGGGAATTAATTATTTGGCTGTATAACCACAAATGGTAAGATTCCCCCCATGTTTGATGTATTTACATAGAAATTTGTATCAGTTATGACAAAAAGGATTGTTGAACCAACAACAGAGTAATAAAAGGTAAATATCAATACAAGTCACTAGTCCAGTGATAGTTATAAGGTAAATAAATGGACACGGGACGTGCACTTAAATGTTGGATTTATTATCTTCCGTCAAGGAGTTAAGTACTCTAAATATAGATGAATGTTATAATGCCTGTGTTTCATGCATTTTCTGACAAAATTTGCATCAATTATGACAAAAGGGCACTTGAATCTGATACAGATCTAGTCCTAGAAGTATAAGACAATTAACTAGTTGACTGTGGTTTAATGGTGATCAGGAATAGCCAGAGGCTTAGGAACTAAGGTGTTCGCGTTCATACAGACTCCTTCAGTGAAGGAATTACGTAGATCTAGGTATAATTGTAGATAGAAACAATTAGATAGGTAGGTAAATGAGCCCGGTTGCCTTAGTGAACAAAATGTTTTTTATATTTCCGTTTTTGTTGTTAATATTTCCTACATGAGAAGACTACTATTGTACCAGCTGTTAGATTCAGATTTCATTAGAAAAAAAGTAATAGATATGGTAGGCTTTTGAGATAGAAAAAAAAAGGTTTTCATCAAGTCTGCAATATTCACTGCTTGCTTCTGATCTGTTAAAATGGCTGAAATTATTCTTTTTATTATGAATTTCGGTCATGAGGGTGCACTTGTTTTTGAGAAAATTGGATAATTTGAGATTCAAAATGTATTTTCTTTCTAGCAAAGTGATACTCCCGGCATTAATGTGGCCAGTAGGTCTTCATTTAAAAATGATATATGTATAAGGGAAAGTGATACCCGTCACTCCTTTCTGATGCTTCTATCAATTAGAGATATTAAAATTGGTTTGTCTGGCTTTGAACTGTGATTACCATAGTGTCATTCAAAATGATTTTGTAATCTTGGAAAAGACAATTTGTAAACTATTTCCTGTATAGACAATTTTACTAGGGAGGACAAGTCTTTGGGTCTATGTCTGTGGGTGTATAGGCCCTGCATTTCATTTACAATGTGATCTACGATATGTGAAATAGCTAAGGAAAGTGGGGAGAGAGATGTAATCTTGTACCTTCTCCTAAGTATTTGGGTAGAATGGTTTTTATTTGATATGTTGACACTAGATAATTGTTTATTGTAGATATAAAGTTATTTTTATTCATAAAAAAACATGACTTGTTCTTGTTGATTTATATCTCTTAGCAACTAGTCAACCCATTTTGTTCAGGATTTGGATGGAATTTTACCAAATAGTCATGGGTGCTGACGTGGACTGACGTGCACATATGCAAAACACACTCACAAATATTTAAATATTTACAAAGAGAAATATTTTACTTGGTCAAAAAAAAGTGAAAAATTATTTTCATAACCCTACTCAAATTTGTACATGCATGAAACTTATGGGGAAGTATACATTTGAGTATTGTGGACCAATATTATTGTCATGCAAGGCATCAATGAGTAGACAAAGGGTAGTTTGAGATTTAAAAATCAATACACAGCTCAACTGGTCATAATTACAATGTTTCTCTGTCATTTTATTCTCTGAGCAGTATTTAATACTGCTTAATAATATTACTTCACAATAGGGATGGTTTTGTACATTATCAATAAAACTAATCAGATTTAATTAAACTAAACTGCACTTAAAGAGCAAATTAATATCACTCATTATATGGCCTATGTTTTATATTCCATTAGATATAAAAATTACAAACATTCTACATAATTGGAGGGAATATGCTATTACACATCAACAAATACACTGGAAAACATTATACAATATATGTGCATGTTTAATAAGAATAACTATTAGTAAGCGAAAAAGCCTTCAAAGACTCCTGTTACTACAACTTAAAGGGTATATCCCCCCCCAACGATGTCCTGAAACAAGACATTTGGAGGGGAGTCCCTTCTAATCTAAAGGCGCATTCTGAGCAGCTTTAACTTGAACTATACCAGATGACATCACCAGGTGAACAGATTATGACTGGCTACACACAGTATTCTTGTATATGACATCAGCTATAAGATATTAATTTCAGTAAGGTATGTCTGCAAGGCTTCTGGATGTCTACTAGTTAAAAATTCAACACCAAACAAAGACAATCTGATAGAATATTTTTACCCAGTCAGTTCAAATTTCTTTACAAGTGAAGCTGGATGCATACTCAAAGGCGATTGAAAATATAATTAAGATAATATTTTATGACAAAATTGTGTGCTTAGACAAATTCTATAATGATGCTGACTGGTTTTCTTGCAGATAGATAACATGCAACTATGGCACCCCATCTTCACATTAAAATGCAGACATTTTAATAACTGAATACACAAGTATTCATAATCGAATAAGGCACAGAAACTTGTTTCCAAAACACATCTTGATACAACGAAGTCAAGCAATTTTTGTTCAGGCACCGTGTATGTTTTAATCACTGTGGGCTTTATATGAGCCACCATAATGAACCAACAACTTCAAAATAAACCAATATGGCGTCTCTGCAATCTTGGCAACACACACTCGCCATTCAGATATCATCGTAATTATTTAATGATTTTTAGTCAATTGTTGATGTGTGTAGGAACCAAAGCAATGTTACACCAATGATTTATTGAAACCTACTGTAGCTGCAACATGAAACTGCTTAAAGAGCTTTGGTTGTAAAATCATATAATACATTATAAGAACTTGAGACATTTAACGAAATGGGCAGTGTAGGAATCCACTAATATATAATATCTATAACAATCATTTTGTCTAATTCACACTGTTATACAATGATCAAAGTTATACAGTTATAATACCAATAATCTAATTTTTGTCATAATGCCTGTTCTAATCGAGAACAAGAAGATAAAGTCTGATTGCTTAAAATATTGATTAAAATGAGATCAAATCTCAAAACATAAAAAAAAAACTTGAACGCCATCTTTGATGTCTTCTTGCAGAGACCTTCGTGAGCACATGGTCTTTCTTTACAACCATGATCACCTTAAAACTGTTCTTTAATAACATTTTGCAAGGCAGTGCTTAGCAGTGAACACAAATAAAACACTAGACTAGTAAAATAACATTTCTTTTTCAAGTATGACAGTAAAATAGACTAGTAAGATCCATACTGTTCTGTACAGGGAATTTCATGTAGTACTGCAAGTGTGAATTTAAAAACAGCGTGGTGATGTTTCTTTATATACAGACACCTATGAATCTTGTATGTTATTTTGCATAAATAACTTGGGAACTTTTGACAAAAAAAAGTACCAATAGATAAGAAAACTGTAACAGATGTAAATAATGAACGGCTGAATCCAATATAAAATTGTATGTATGACAAAGTTGAAGGGGATGAGACTTTCCCAGTCATCATTGTAAAAAATGCATTACAGTTAAATGTATACTGAAAAACAAGTGACAAAGCCTCTGAGAGAATCTGGCCTGTCATCCTATCTAGTAGCACAGTAAGAATCTCCTTTTAAGGTATAACAGGGACTGGAGCAGAGCACCCTAAATAAAAGCAGACTACCCTCTCTTAAAAAAGACATTTAAAGATGTGAAATGATCCAGCAACGTTTCAAACTCTAATACACAGAGCTGTCATATAGCCAAATCTCTGCTGATTATTACAGGCTTTCCTGTGGGCTAATTTTTGAACACAACATTTGATTCTTTGACCTATACAAATGACACCAAGATTCATGCAAAACACCGATTCTGATTTCCACTGATGCAACAAGAAATATGACACTCTAAACAATTAAATGCAAAACAGTGTCCCCATTTTTCAGATACAGTTGTTATAAAAATGTTGGGTACTTTGGCAATGAAGACAGGTTCTGGTGACAACAACATCTACAATAACAGCTGTGTTTGCACATAAAAAAAGCAAATGTCTGCCTATACTTCTGAGCTGTCATTATTATTCTGATATTTAGGATCATACACTCTACTCTTGCCATTCCCAATGGGGACAGTGACTCCATTACTGAGAGATTTCTTTTTTTCTTTTTTCTTTCTTCCAACAACGATGACAATTACGATAATAATTATGCATAAAACAAGGAACAGAACAACTGCAATAATAATTGGTATTATGGGTGTGCTGGCTGGTTCAGTATTTAAAACAGATGTTCCAACTTCAGTGTTTCCTTGCAAATTATTGTCCTCCGCTTTAGCTGTAAAGTTCAGTGATATTCTCACCATATTTGTTCCCCTGTTATTACTTTGGCCAATATTTTTAGTGTCTTCTATTGCACGCTTTCTTCGTGTGTGTAACACCTCTTCCACCATTGTTTCTAATGATGATTGAATGCCTGAAATGCTGTGGTACGTGATGCTTCTTTTTCCGATGCCGTTCCGCGAGTTTTCCATGGAACGCACAGTGTAAATGGCGTGGACAAACCACTGTCTTCCTGAGTCCACCTATAATACAATACAAAATACACAACAGTTAAAAGAGAATTTCAATTCATGAAAATATTTCATCACTTATAAAACAATTAAAAGACATTTTAAATTAATGAAAACATTTTGTCATTTCATGAACTCACTCAAATTATTTAAAGTTTAAGAAACAACTAAAAAGTTTTGCTCCCAAATAAGGAAGTTTAAGGAACAAAAGTTCTTGCCTTGAACAGAGGTTTGGCATCCAGGCTAAACCCATCAGATCCTGGCTGCAGTACGAGGTTCACTGCTGAGGGGTCGTCTACTGCCAGCCTTGCATTGAAGGGGATGTCTCTGAATGTAGGGGAGATAGTGTTAGGGGCACCTTTGTCCTGTAAGAGAATATCAAACATCAGTAGGTAAATAAGAAGTACTGTAACTGTATGAGAAATTGGGGAAATGAATGTTCTGATTCATCCAGTAAAGTGATATCACAAGAGGGAAAAAGTAAATCTGATATTGGACTAACTTAGTGATAGTTACCTCATAAGTCCATTACTACATTTGTTTTTTTTTTCTATTGTGATATATGAAACATTGTCGGAAATTTTTATTTTACCAGGACTTTTGCTTTTCCAGAGACAAACTTGTGCATTACTCAAGTGACTATGAAAAAAAAATCAGCTCATTTTCATTGACTTTTATCAGTAAAACTCACCAGTATTCTAAATGTCTGCTGTAAGTTCGGTGAGTCCGCCACACAACCATATTCCTCATTGGCAGGGTCATACTTAGGAATATACCCATCCTTGCCAGTACATATGAATACTTTCTCAATGTTCAAGTTAAAAGAATCACCAAGATTCTGAACTGAGTCCACCATTATTCTTCCATATATCTTGTCACCTGAGAGAGACGGGGAAGTTTTATATGAAGTTTTATATGAATGCAAAAATTACTTCAAGAACACAACCTGACAAATATTAAAATTTAAAGAATCTTAAAATATTTTGCAATATCACAATAACCATTTACTGAATTTAATTATCGATTTGTTTCCATACCTTGTCCAAAAGCAGCATCTGAGTCCTCTCCAAAACCCATAGAACCATCAGACAGCCAAAGGGCCTTCTTCCGCAGCAGATGAAAGTTGGTATTGAGGCTGAACTCGGCAGGCACAGGATCACTAATCTGCTGGAATCTTATATCCAGGTCAAAGTTCATAGGCTGACGAGGGTTACAAACGACAGGGAGGGCGTACTCTTGGTCCAGGGGGGTGGTGCAAGGAATCAGCTTTATGGTGTACTTCCCTGAGTAGTCGCGTACCTGTAAAAGGAATTTTTTTTCTTAACAAAGTCATTGCTTTTTTCTTTAATGAAAACATTATGTGGTTTTCATCAGCTTCAGTGGTATTTTCTACAAGGTAACACCCACTGCTCTTCATGTATAAATGGAAACCATGAAAGAATCACATGCCAAAAGTTGTCCCACCACAATCTTTATCGAATACAGAAATTTGGAGTTATTTCAATAACTACAGTTGCAACTTACAGCGTAATCTGACACAAACTCCCATGTTTGTTCAGGCTGTTCAAAGGTTGGTTCACTTCTCAGAAGTTCCAAGGTAAACGTGAGATCAGGATTGACAGCTGACATCACCATGGAAGTCAGACTGGTGCCTGGTGAAGACAAGGGATAATAGAACAGCAGAATGAAATTGAAAGGGGAGGGAACCAATTAAAGCCCACAAAAAAAAAAAAAAAAAAAAAAAAAAAAAAAAAACTATCCTCTATCACAACATATACCATAAGCCAACTTCTACCACCAGAAAATGGACAAAATTGACAAGAATTTTAAAGAAAAAATTACTGGTAATTAGACAGAAAAATGGGTCTTAATGGAGATTAATATTATCACATTAAATGTTATGAGAAAACTAAAACTGGAATGGTAATTATTTATTCTACTCTCCTCTTTAAAAATATGTCAATTTTCCACTCATAACTAATAGACAAATTAAATCGTAACTCAAAAGTATGTAATATCTTTTAAAGCTAGTTACCTGGATGACTCAACACATATTGCCCTCTGAATCTGGCTTCTGTTCTAAAATTTACAGCAAGACGGCCATCTTTTCTTATACGCATACTGGTTGGATACAGAAAACCTGGATTAAATAAGTAAAAAAGATATGTTTATTTCAATATGGGGAAAACAATGTGTGTGTGTGTGTGTGTGTGTGCGTGCGTGCGTGCGTGAGTGTGTATAAATAAATATATGAGAACTTTTAAAATAAGATCATAAGAAATTTTATTTTACCTTGAAGTTCTGATGAACCATCTTCGGCACCAATACCATTCTGCCACAAGATGGCAGTGTCGTATACAAATGTAAGTCTGAGCTGTGAGGACAGGTCGTAGTTCTGCCAACCACCAGTTGCCACAGGTGAATGAAACACATATGATACGTACAGCGGGACACGCACTGACACATAGGACTGCTTGAGATTCAAAACCTGCATACCAAAGAAAATTAACATACATTATTAAAATTTATGCTGAAAAAAACTTGAAATTCTGTAAATGTGAATATTTGAGCAATTTATAAAAGGACTGAAGAGAAGAGCTGTGACACTTCCTAAAAGCCACTTATTGACTTGAAAAAATCATGAAAACATAATGTTTTGTAAAGAGAGAAAAAAAATACCACTCACCTGTCCATCTGTACCAATGGTTCCTCCACAGTCCGTCACCAGTTCAGACATGGTATAATAGGTCACAAACTCCCAGAGACACGCCTCAAGGTCCAGATTCCTGAGAGAAATTGTATTCAATATTACTGACATATTCAACTGAATGCCACTGTCAAAAATATTACTTTTTTGGAGTCCAGTTGTAAAACACTGAAGAAGCACTATTATAAAATTGACTTGAACTCCTTTGCTTGTATAACTAAACTGAACTTCTGCACTAACACATTTGAACCAAACTTCTACACTTACTCAATTGAACTGAACATCTACTCTTATACAACTTAACTTCTGCACTTATACATGGAACTGAATTGAAAATGTAAATTTTAATAGAGAACTGCCGTTAATTAGAAGGCAATCAAAGAACATAAGTCACTCTAGAAACTTCAATACCAACAACAGGTTGACAACGAATAATTTCAAAATGAAAATTCCATATTGCTCATGCTTTCACAATGTACACAATACAATGTAATAACTACAGTTTCTGCTTTAAATCCTTTAAATCAACATAATGCTTCCACGTACTTGTAAAATCTGAGAGAGGGTTCCGAGCGGATATCAGCATTGTACTGATAGGGTTCCATGGAGCCTACGATGTTGGGGTTCTTCGTCTCGTTGGTGATGTAGCCATACTTAGTCCTGACTTCATCATAATCCAGCAAATTCGAACATTTGTGCTGGCCAATACGGAAGGCGTCTGGGCTGAGGGCCAGTTCAAAATTGGACAATATATTGGTGGAAATGACAGGCAGCATGCCGTCTCTGTGGGGAATGGTCACTGATAGCCTCACCATGTTGGGGTGAGTGGGATCACCAGGTCCTAGAATAACAATTTTTATAGAATGTGAAACAAGCTGGCTGTGAAGTGGTTACAGTGTAAACTTTTGCATAAGGCTTTTTTTACTTATTGAACTACACAAAGAAAGTGGAAAAGTAAGTTAACTCTGGATAAATATTTTTACTCTTTGAATTCTCATTGGCATAAGTAAGAAAATAATTGTAAGAAATGCTTCTAACAAATAATACAATACACCCATGCATTAATGTTCTTGCATAAATTTACATTTACATTATTTATATTTTTACATTAATTAACATTTATAAATCAAATCATCTACTTTTTCAATTATTTCTAGAATTGCTCCATACAAGTACCTGTGTATCTGAGTTTGGCAGTGAAGGGTTCCGCCCCCACTGACCCCATCACGCGAGGCATACAGATCCCCTCGTCACTGCTCACCGTCACCACTGGGCTCAGCAACTCCAGGCCAGGGTCACCGTCTTCGTTCACTGCTCTGGCCGCACACTGGACTCTGCTTCCTGTAGAGAGAATATTTCCTCTGTGTTAGTCTATTGAATGTGGCAATTATAGTCTTATGAGCATGTAAATGGTGAGAATGTATTTTTTATTTTTAAAACACTAAAGTTTTTGAAAATGGCTACAGCAAACTGAAAAATAAAACTTTCCTGGACTGTTAGTCTTCAGGATGTGTACTGACTTGATCAAAGTTATTGAAGTTTTTAAAAAAATTATAATTTGAATATTCTAATCACCAAACTTTTATCAAAATAGTTCAAAAAGCACCTTTATTTTGTATGTTCAATACAATTGGATTATAAAACAAACACTGCAGATCACGAAGTTCAAATGTCAGTGAAAACAAAAAAAAATCAACTCACCTCCACTGAAATAAATACTGTCAAGGGTAATCTTATGTGTATTTGTGAAAAAGGTGTTCGATGAAACATCATTCAGCTCACTAGTGACGCCATCTAGGTAACTGGGCGCTGACACACGCCAGCGGAATATAGTCTGCGTATCGTTGATACCCTCGCTGGTACACAGGGAACCTGTCTTGTAGTATTCTGGGTGCTTTGGGTTACAAGGCTGAGAGAGAAATATGAATGAAAAACATGTTGTACCAGTTCTCCATCAACACTGCCCTAAATGCAGTCCAGATGTATGATGTGAAGTCTAAAGCAGAATCAAAATAATACAAAATGAGCAGCATCCTGATTTATTGCTTATTGCCTTCATTAAAAAAACATGCCTTGATGGTTGCCTTCTACCTAAATATATCACATTTCATGAAAATTTATCTCAGAGCCTATAATTTATCAGACTATAAAAGTTAGAAAAATTTTACTATTTTGTTTATGAGTTTTTGGCAGTACTGAGTTTTTTTAAATGCAGCAGCAATTGTCATAAAATGCCAAAATTTATTGTACTCCTATATACCACAGAACTAACTAATATGATTCCAAAAGAAATCAGTAAGTGGATAACTAAAGTAAGAGAGAACATCAACCTACTGTGATACATATAACAGGGTAACCTTGGACTGGATTAGGTGGAGCATTCTTGGCATCATCATAGTTACGGAGGGACACTACCATTGGCGGAGATGGAAACGTGACATCTGCCATCTTGTTCATTTCTTCGATGTACACAATTGCTTTGTTCATCTGAAAAGTAAGGAATGAATTGAAACTGTTGAGGACGAATCAGATAAAGCAGGCAAAAGTGACATAAGAGGTTCATAAAGATACTTTGCTGCAAAGGGTTCCTGAGCTTACTCACTATAGTGCAATATATTGACTAAAGCTAAAACCTTCTTCAAGAAATAATGAGCATGTGAAAATAATGAAATATAGAAATTTCCTCTAGATTAATATGCTATGAAACTATAACCTAATATTATAAAGAGTAGATATATATTAAATCTGAAAAGGTAATGGCTTGATCTTTTCAATGTGGAAAAATGTGAATTTTACAGATACTGTATTTTTTAAGTTATTAAAGTTTGAACATTCCTATGGTCCAGGAATGGAAGCAACAAAATTGTAAAGCAGGTTACCTAGACATGTAACAGTAAAAACACCACAAATGCTACAAAGAAATATATTTTTAATGATTTTAAAATTATGTATCTGAAAATTTGATAATTTGTCTCCATTGAAAGGATTGAGTCATAACCGTGACCTGAAAACAGATGAGAACTCACCTGTACATCTGCCACCATATTTCTGTCAGGTTTGATGTGGACAGTGAAGGCCTCTCTCATCTCCCTCTCTCCATCGTACAGCACCTCTACCTTGATAACATGACGGGACACATTCAGCCCAAACTCAAGTTCTGAAATATAAATAGGTATTTTTTTGTTTTTTTCATATTGTTGCAGTTATGTATATAAGGTGTTATCACAACACAATTCTCAGCACTTAGTTCTGAGGAACAGAAAACAAGATCAAAGAAGACATTTTCAATTTTCTCCATTTATCCAAAATGAAAAGAAGTTTAAATAAATTAAGACTTTTTAACTGTTTCATGAACAGGAATGGCCACTTTTTTGAAAGGACTGAATTAGAACTCGATTTAGTACAGAGTATGAATGTTTGAGGGAACTTTAGTATCTTGACATAATAATCAATCTGCTTTCAATAGAAGCATTTTTTTTTTTACAACAACAAACCTTTAGAGAAGCCATGGTAGTCATTTCCAGGCCCAGATTTAGCCGATCCATCTTTGGTGTGAACACGCACTATGGAAGTTTGTGAAAGATCTCCTAAACGCACCACGGGGATCTCTACAGTGGCAATCTCTCCACTAAACATAGGCTCGTTAACAGAGTACTTTGTCCTCTCAAACTTAATGATGGGCTCTGTAAAATGGAAATGGCAAAGGGCGTCAATTTTTGCTACATGGCAGAAAAATTGTACACTAGAGGAAACGGACATATTTGTCAATATTTAAAACAGCTCTAAAGAAAACTTCATAAGAAGATTTTATTATCTCCATTTTTTTTCTATATATCTTTATTTAAGTTTCACCTAGCTGTTGATAGTAAATCTCTTCATAAGTGCCTCTTGCAGCAGAAATGAAAATGTCCTTAATCCCCCCTCCATGCAAAAACAACAGAAGTTGAAAATTTTGTGTAAACCTAATTCATCTTTTCAACTGCCTTTTGCTTAACCACAAAACACAAGAAACCCATTTATAATATAAACCACATAAACACTTCAGAACTGTGACAGCGGTTAAGTCTAGATTCCAGGCTCCTGATAATCGGTTTCTGGATCGAAGAATAACAATGTCACGCTACAGACTATTATTTCTGTAAAGTCTTTGTCCAAGGTAAGGTTTCATTTTCTGGTTATTATCTTACACTGAACATGAAACTCGTCAAAGAAATGAACAAATTGGAGCAAAATACTACATTTCTGATTTTGCTATGTGCTATTATTTTGGTAAAGTGATTCCAAATAATCAAAATATGAAATGCACTGCCTTGCTATAACCATTATTAACATCAATTCAAGTTGCAGTATAAACATAAAATGTCATAAAATTTTCTGAAAAAAGTAATAATAATAATAATAATAATAATAATAATAATAATAATAATAATAATAATAATAATAATAACTTTTTCAGACCCCACCCCTCTTCCAAAAAAATCTTTATTTTGCTTGAGTGGTTTTACCCTGGCAGTATTATTATCCCTAGAACACACCCCAGGCACTTAAAGGTAAAATCTCTCCCCAACTTGTGTCTTGGTGGTAACAAGGTATTAGTCACGGATACAAGCACCACTGCAGGGTAAACAGATTTGGTATTTTTTCAAAACAAGAGTATCATTTTCTTTGTTAGTTGGCAGTGCAACCCAAGCAATACCTTCTTCTGAAAGGTGGTATTTGATTATATTTGTGGCGTGATAGTTTTTGTATTCTCTTACTACCTATCAAAAGTTTGTGGTTTGTATGCCTTATTTAACAATCAAAGTGCTGCAGGCAGATTTGAAACCACAGCAGTGTCAAATATACAGATTCATCTCTCTGAATGTGTAGGTGGCCTCTTTAACACCCCAAACAAACACACACCAGCAGCCAAGGAAGACACAAAGAACAGTAGTACTACTTCAAATGCCAGCAGTTAAAAACTTTAATAATGACTTTACTACACTTCCAATTTGTCATGAAATTCTATATGCACCTGTTGAAAATTCTTTTTTTGTCAAAAACACATGTAAACTAATTATCATACAGATGTATATGGTTTCAAACAAAAACATGAATAACACCTGAAGTGTGCTCCATATTTAGGCTTTGACCCATAAAAATGATCCCAATTGGAACAGTATACCATCTCAGGAAAGAAAATCTCCAACTTCACAAAAGGTTGGATGGTGATATTTCAGCACACATCTAACAGTGAATAAGAGTGCATTCACAGCAGACTATCTGATCCATTAATCAAATATTGCTGACCCGCTTGAATGCTTATCACGTAATCCTTACAGGATTCTATTCAGTGTCTGTTATGGGATTATATGGCAAACTTTTAAGTGGGCCACCATATTTGATCCACGGACTAGTTAGTCCCCTGTTGTGAATGTGGCCTAACTTACTGTCTCCAGCATCCTTGACGACAATGGTGGTAAAGTTTGGACTTCCTATCAAAGCTCCTCCTGCAGATGGGCTGCTTGGGCTGCCAAGAACCAGGCGGAATTGTTCCTCTTCTTCCTCAAACTCAGAATCTCCCATTAATTCCACAACACAAGGTTTTTTCACTTCTCCTACAAATAAAATTGAATAATTCCACTAACCAGTGAAAGATCTTTAATATCTACCATCAAATGACAATATATATAAATATATAAATCATACATATAAATGCATTCAATATATGTTTTACATATTGCAAAGAGTAAAACAAACCCTTATTATTATTATTATTACGCTAAAATGAAGTTCATGACCTTGTGATAAGGTCAAAACATCATGATCTTCATTTCAACATTAGATCAAGTATTAGAAATAATTTTTCATTATCAATATAAAACACTTCACTTTGCATACCTGGCAAAAAGGTAACAATAGAGGCATCAGTGTCTGGCCTCTCACTGTAGTCCATCATAACCCTGGCTGTGTCTTGTCTTGTGTAGCAGCGCACTGTTGCTAGGTGACTAGTATCGCCTGTGCGTCTGATCATGGTCCTCACAACACCGTCATTTTCAAAACCCATGTACATGTCCTCTTCAAAGTGGAATTTTGGTACTGGAAATGTGAACCACAGGATATTTAGACATAATTCATTAGTTAAATTTGCAGGTGTCCTGTAAAAAGTTTGCAAGGCTTTTTTCTTACCAAGAAAAATATATCAAATCAATATTTCAGTATATACATAGAAAGACACTCAAGTGCATTTTTTCATGTCATTTAAAAAGGAATTTTAATAGGGAAATAACAAGGAAATATCACACAGCATGGATACAGAATATTTCAATTATTCTCCCCCAATGAAAATTTTGTAAAGAAAGTGCAGTTTTACTCATTCTGATGGAACATGCTCTCTTTGACCACTGCATGGGCCTTTTTTCTTTCAAAGACATAATTCTTACATACAGAAGAAACTGCAAACAAAGATCTTTCTGGGTTTGGGAAAAGGAAGAGGGACATGTTTCCCAAAGTTATTGTTTCCCAATGAAAAATTGTTAAAAGGTGCAGCTTAGAGCACTATCAAGACCATCAATCATGTCTCTGTGGTCCCCAGTGTGGGTCTAGTCTCCCCCAAGGCAAACAACATTCTTTTCTGAGATTGAAATCATTTTATGTAATTTCTGATTTTATTTCCATAGTAACTATATCCGTTTCTCATTTGGTAACAGAGGTATTCAACCCTTAAACTTGACAAACCACAAAAACCAAGTCTGGCTTCTTCAAAACCATGCAACCTGATATCAGAGTGAAAATCATAACAATATGCTGGTTTTTGGCTTTGGATAATAACAATTTGCAACAAACACTGCTTGTCTGGCCTTTTCAGTGGTTTTTGGTTAACAAAATGACTGCAAAATCTATCTAGCAGACCAAAAAATGAAAGGAAAGCATCCAACTTAATTTAAATGTAAAATTTCGTATCATCACAAATAACCCTCCTCATTGAAAAACATTTTAGTTTAACAAAAATGCCAATCATTTCTAACTGCATGCAATGTTTAATTAAAGTCAAGAAAATTGGGAAAATCTAATCTAATCAAATTTTCTCAGCCATTATCAAGTATGACTGAGTAACTAAAAATGACATCAGAGTACCACATACAGTCAGTGACTGAGTCGTTGATAACGACCAATGCCTTGCTGGGCTCCCCCATCATTCCTCCTGTGGGCATCCGTAGAACCAACTGGAAACTCTCGGGACCTTCCAGTCTGGGTTGACCAAGGTCATCCAATATGGTCACCTTGACCGTCTGCATGGTCATCCCCGGGGCAAAGTTCACCACTCTGTTGATTGCAGAGTAGTCCAAGCCAGCTGAATGGAAAGATGCGAGAGTGTTATTATTAATAATATTAGGTCAAACTTCTCCATCAACTTTCTCTCTCTCTCTCTCTCTTACTCTTATCCATCCATCCATGAACATATGCATACATGCTAGCTGGTCTACAAGCTAGTGGGCATTATCTGAAAAAAATTCTACAATAAGCCCTCTTTCTATACCTAGTAAGGCATATGGCAAAAATTACTCCCATTTTCAGATTTTGCTGTTGCAGCTCATTTTTGTACTTACCTTGAGAGCCCCTCTGTTTGCATTAATGCAAATAAAATCAAATGAACTATCATATCTAAAGCAGAGCATCATTATGCTTGTTTCAACAAGAAAATACTTTTTGAATTCTGTTAAACATCATCTACTATCTTAAGCTACTCAATAAAAATATGCCAGTGAAATCCATCTGAGAGTCTATATCTTTTACAATACTTGAAGTCAAATGACCAAACAAATTCAATATATGTATATTGAATACATATATGTTAAATGTGGGGCCAATAGATAAGTTGATGAGTAATCACTAATATAACCAAGGTAAGTTGTATCTTTCATGCCCTACCGTCAGCGGAGACAGGTTTGGTTTTCTTGGACCTGATGGTGACACTGGAGGTCTTGCTGAGATCTGTTCCCGTCCGCCATATTTTAACTTCAACAAAACCATCACTCTCATCAACCTCATATTCTGATGCTCCCAGGTAGATAGCAGGCTCTGAAAATAAATGTCATGTTGGTAAGGGTTCATCTTTTACATTTTGCAGATATTTGTTATCTTTTTTAACTAAAGCCTAAGAAATGATTTCTACATGCTTAAATGATTCTGACAAAAATATTGTAATCAATGTCCATAAGAGATTAAAGTGACACAAAACGTGTGCTTTTACACATCAATAATGACTTATTTGTTCTGTTTTCAAGCAATAATTTTCCTACAAATAAACCCGAACACAACTTTACTCCGAGTTAAACACATTATACTTGTATGCCATGTAGTGGTGTAGTAGTTTCTTTTCAACTTTGCAAGAAAAGAAAGAATACTCAATATTGTTTAAGTATAACATAACAAAGCACCCTGCAGAGACAGTTACTTATCTTTCCTCTAATTAGTGCTTTGTACGACCTATACAGACCCCTGAAGTAGAACTAGGCATAAAACTGCCACTGTGCTTCAAAAACAGAAGCCACTTTATATTCCATAATGAGCCTTTCTTGCTGACCCCAGTGACCCCTAGCAGCGAGATTCTGTCTGCACAACAAAAGGCCACATTTTTTCAGAATGAAACAGTTGCCGCACAGCGGGAGGTGTGAGGTTTGATTCACACAGGGTTACACAGTTCTATTTCTAAATAAATATACTTGTACAGCGTCTCATTCATGTGATGGCAAAATTGAGAACTGCTGTCAAGGAAGTAATGAAAAGTCATATATATATATATATATATATGGCTGCTCCAACATTTGTATAGGGATGTGGAGATTATTATAATATTTAAGCCTGAATCCCCACATTTTATTACCAATGTGATGCACACAAACACAAATACATACACACACCATACACATTTTATCACCAGTGTAACACACACACGCATGTATGCATGCGCGCATGCATGTGCGCACACACACACACCTTTTTTTACATCATCAACATACCGTCATCTTTGTCCGGGGCAATGACCACTTCTGTCATGTTATGTTGCCCCACCTTCCCTCCCATAGGCATGGTCAGAACAACCTGGAACCTTTCTTCCTCCTCAAACAAGGAGTCATCGATAATTTGAATGTTGCAGAATTTCGTGTCCTCGTTCTTGTCAAAGCGCACCATGCTGTTGTGGTCTTCGGGTCTGGTGATGTAGTCGGAATAGGAAGTGACAGTGGATGGAACAGTCCCCGTGGCAGAATCTGTGGGGGGAAAAAACAAACCAGTCAGTCAATACTGATTTAAATTATTGGAAATTGAGAAAGAGTGAATTTTAAAAAAGTTATAAAGTATGCCTATCCATAAAAATTGAAATTAAAATTCATTAATGCACTGATTAATGTTGAACTGCAGAGAAAACAGTACAGTACAGTACAAAAAAAATTTAAATAATAATTTTTCTCAACTGGTGACAACAAATTAATTTGTATATACCCACTCATTTTAGAGCATCTTACAAAGTATATAACAAAAAGTCTCCTCACCTTGTACTGTGGAACATATAACCATCAGTTCATCAGAAATGTCTCCAGTTCTCTTTATGGGTACCTTGATGATCCCAATGTCTTCCTCCACTGTGTACTGACTCTCTGGGAAGAACACCGTGGACTCTGGAAAATTACATGTTTTATGTGATTAAAAAGAAACGAGGTTCTCTGGGATATACATATGTACAAACTGTCATTTTATATTTATCAGATATACAGAGGCTGAGGTATATTTGTGTGACTTGAAGTAAAACAGAAACTTTCCAAACACAAGAAATCAGACCATTCACACATCAGTGAAAATAAAAATTAGCCACAGTCTACTGAACTCAATTTATCTGATATTTTGTGCATGGTGGTTACTTATGCAGATGTATCAAATAAGAAGGCTCAGTTGTGATATAATCTGGATATTATAACAAATGAAACTTTAAATGCAATATTTCAGCTGTTGTCCAGAGTCCAGTTCTACTAAGGTCACCTTACCATCTTCCTTGTCCAGAATCCGGACAGTGGCCACTTTGGGGTGTTCCAAGGCCCCCATCACAGGCTCGCTTAGCTCTAGTGTGAAGGTCTCAAAATCCTCGTACTTGTCATCATCGATAAGGCGAATGTGCCAGTTCTTCTTCATTTGTCCTGAAATTAGTGAAATAAGTATTAACTTAACAAAAAGATTAGATAAAAGCACTATTTAAAATCCCATTCAGTTACAATTGGAAATACTTAATTATGTTTATCTAACAAAATGCAAAATAACTTTAATGAAAATAGATTTTTATTTCTTTTTCAGAATTATCAGCAAATTAAGTCCATCAGCGTTCAACTATGCTGACAATGCTTTCAATACATGCACTGCCAACACACTGGTTAAATCTTATATATAAATATTATTTGATACCATTATTAAGTATATAATCATGGCTTTTTCTCTGGTTATTGGTATCTGCTCATTACATTTACTCTGCTGAACAAGAGGCACTTGATAATTAGTCGCTTGCCCATTGCCAGACTTTTCATGACCAGGTTCCCCACCTCCATGAGTCTCTGGTGAGTACTTATTGAGGAGACAGCAGGTGCTAGTTTTATGGTGGCCCCTGACTTGACCTAGCTAGAGAAACAAACCCATAACTTCCTACCAGGATGATGGGAGCAATGAGAGCACTCTCCTGCTTTGGTCTTCCAGTACAGACATGGCGGCTATCTACCTGAAGACTACCTGAAGACTACCTGAACATCTTACCTGGGTTAAACTGCACTTGGTGGGCATACTTCTTCCTAACATCTTCACCCACTTTGGCTGTGCCATTTTTTGCAGTGATAGCTGTTCAAAAATTGGAAGATTTGTTAATAATTATAAAATGAAACATGAATTTCATTATTATTTGGTAAACATTTTCAGTTGGCTGTGAATCAATGCAGCATTAATTTATGAGCATGTCTACCTGTCTATGCATTTCAAAAGGAACATAAAACTGTAAAACTGTGCACCTGTAATCATTAAAAATACTCTAATATTACTTTAGTCTGAAATCAAAAAGTGAACCTGGACAAAATCTAAACACCAAATTGAATTTCATTTAGGCAGGCCCATAGCAAAGGCCAGAATCTTAATTTTTAGCAAGTGTGTGTCTATAGGGATTAAAGGGGCTAACTAGTTTTCCGTTACTCTCTTATTATGCCACCAATCAACACATCTAATCATATGCAAAATTAAGTCGAAAAAAATCAGATTATACGCAATGATAAACTTGCTACTTTGGCCTCTTACTACTAATCTGATGTTCTATAATTACAGCAGACTATTCATAACTCTTCACCTTATAACACCAATTATTATTCATCTCAAACAAATCTTATGAATTTTTTTTTTATTTCACATTAGCTGAAATTTATAATAAGGATACCTAACTTGAATCTTTGTGTAACTGGAACTAGTTTTCCCGAACCAAACAGGCAAGGTTAATTATGCAGAGTTTGCTGAATGTCAATACTTACTGATAAATGATGTCTCGCCCAGAAACCCCCTCCTGTTGAGGGTGACGTTGACTCTCCTATCCGTCTCATTCACGATGTAGTATTCCGTGGCAAAGGAGATCCAGGCCCAGTTGAGGTAAAATGGCTGATTATCAAGGACGTTTCCGCCTGAAAGATTCATAAGCAATTACTGTGAGCAATAATTTGGCAGAATTCTGTAAAAACAATCATCATTCTTACGATAGCCTGTCATCTCCTTTCCTCCTCCCCTCCCTCCATAAATTCTGTCATGGTACAATGAACTGACAAGATCTGTCAAGGTGCATGTATTATTCTAAAACGTGTTTCAAATTATCACAATATTTCATGACAATGGCAATTTAGGATTTATAACTTGACAATTTTATCTTTCAAACATTTGATTAACTTAACCCTATGAAAGATAATTTTAATACGTTTATTCTTACTATTCATTATCACATACATAATAACATGTAGTACGTGCGTACGTAAGTTTTAAGTGCACTTATCCCATGTATCCGTATGTTAAACCAGCATGACAGTAATGCATGCGAAGGAACGCATTGTAAACTACTAAAATGTCAAAGTCCACAAGTCATACTAGTTAATCAGTTGGTATTTTATTCCTGCCAAAAGTAATCCAACATTAGTTTAAACCCTGTAATCTTGGAATGCAATGGGCAGCTAGTGTGCTACGGAACATACAGAAAAGTAACAACTCTTCTGCTCGCTGACATTAACAATTAGCACAGTAGCATAACATACGTAAAAATTTATATGAATCTTGTTGTAACTCTTTTATTTCCAACTTTCAAGTGAAATAAAAATCAGACATTCCAAAGTCTTGCCCCAAGACAAGAAAATGAGGCACCTTTATGCTGTTCAATGCACTGGGAAGGGATTAGTTATAACTCACAGCGCAACAAAATGCTAGATTGGCTGCCTTCAGTAAAACCACAAGCCAGACGGTATTAGCCTCCATTTCACCTGCTGTTTCTCAGTGGAAATGTAAAACTTTCAATAATTAACCTTGATGGCAAAAAAAGTTCTCCCAGGAAAAAAGAGCAGTAGGGTTAATTTCACTTTTCACTGAAGCATTGGCAATTCATTTATCTCTTGAAAATTATAAAAATAAACTGAGCATGTCATATAAAGTATAATATTGACCACCAGCTTGGGTGAACTTTTATCTGTAATCAAATTTGCACGTTTGGTATCAAACTGAAATCTGAGTACAGTCTAAGGACCCTCTCTCACAGAGTTCCACAATGTTTTCTTGTGGATTCCCATTGACTGTTGTTGCTTCTTTTACATAAGGAGTAATGTTAATCATTATTTTGAAATTATTTCTGAAAAGGTTAGTTATGCCAAAATCTGTAAGAACTATCCTAGGGTCAGTTATTCAGAGGATCCCCCATTCTGACCAGCCTTCATCTGAAATCGACCCCCATCAGAGAAACAGGTCATGTCCTCTTCCTTTAAAATAAAATCTGTTTTATAATGTTATCATCATTATCCAGATGCTTGATTTACAAGTCTTCTCCCATATTATTCATCAGCAATCGAAAAGTAAAAGCAAAAAATATATAGCAAAGCTTTAATTAATAAATTATACTGAATATTCTAGGCAGCAAATCTGATTATTGAGTGTTGCCTCATCATGCAGAGAAAGTAGACTTCGTGATCAAAGAGCAAATAACACAGCATTTTGGTGTCAAAGAAGCAGTCTTTTATTAATTTTCAACCATTAATCAAGCAACAGGCTTTAATTGAAAATGAAATTGAGTGGGTGAAAAATTTAACCACTTTACTGAAGGTTCACCTTATTAATAATAGCTTTAATCTTAAGCTATAAATTTGACACTGAATTTGATGTATCGCCATAGGTAAATAAATCAATTAGTCTAGAGGATGCAAAGGCCAACAGAATTATGCTTGTGCTGTAAGTCATTGTATTTACTTGTCAGTTATAAGTATCTATAAATTTGATATAAATCATCAAGATTGCAACCACAGGTAGATGGACGGAAGGGTGATGTGAAGGGTGACTGACAGACAGACAGACAGACAGACAGATGGACAGACAGATGGACAGAAAATGCCATTCAGTAAAACATTTTGGGCATCTCATCCAAACATTCAATCCAACAAAGTCTTAAACACTCACTCGCTTTGAAAGAATATGTCATCTTTTTGCAGTGTGATTTTTATGGTGATATACTAGCATCTGATGTCTCAATTCTATACACAGGTATACTAAGTTAATTCCCTTGTTTAGCCCATCTTTCTATCATTAAGACAAGTGCTGGTGTATTGAATATCTAGATATATATATTAAAAAAAAAATCTCCCCAAAAATTCAAGGAATGTGGTTTAAATTATTTTCATATCAAGCCCAGTATTCCTCTGTAGGTCTAGGTGTCAGAACATTATATATGTGCTAATAACTGTCAAAATGCCTTTGTAGAACTTAACTGATTTTAAGTCAAAATGAAAAGAAGTTGCCCAATCTTTAATTTCGGCTAAAAATTTCTTCTCTGTTATGTCTTTTATATTGGAATAATCAAAATCTGAATTATTTATTCATATTCAGTTATCTAAATTTTGATATGTATATGTTTTCTTATACTTTTAACAACAACATATTCAATGGCAGGCTGGGAGAGCCCATAGGTATGTATGCCTGCCCAATTATGCAAAATAAATGAAATAGACCTTGTGGAATTAAATGTTTTTTTTTTTGCATTTTGCCAATATCATCTATAATTTTTATTTTAAATAATATATAGCAAACCATGTCCTCAAATAAGGGAGAACCAGTAACTTCATTGAGAACAAAAGATCAAAGAAATTAAACTGAAACGAAACCACCCCAAAACCACCCTGCAGACAAAACCTGAAAGCAGCACTTGGGATGTTTGTGCTAGAATGGCTATCAAAAGAGCTTTATACCAAAACTGTTTATTTTCATCCAATAACGATCTATTCTTCTCGTCAATGGTAAGTCAATTAACACTTGACAAAGATTTCAAAGTTAAAACAAGGGTAGTGTGCTCTGTTTGAAAACGTAGAAAACTGAGACATTGTGTACAGTATCAGGGTTTGAAGTCGGAAGCTGTGCATCATAAAAGATGGTTCAATGATTGAAAATCCCTTTGGTGGGTTTAGATGGAACAACTGGCTTAAACTAGTCAATCTTAAGTATATACCCTATCTGTATCATGTTTAGTATTCAATGTAAACTATACAGGCAAGCAAAGGTATCACTGACAGCATGCAGGAAAACAATTGCTCAGTTCAAATATATTCAAAGGCAATGGCCATCAGATATGGACAGCCATATAGTATCAGTGAGTGTTAAAATACAAATTATACACAAATGCACATATAGGCACACATGTAAGAAGACATCCACTAGTAGTACCATTTTTTTGCCATGTGTAAAATTATTTTAGAGTTACTTTGTTGCCATCTTGGACATTCAGTAAAACTGATGGAAACTAGAATATGGAGTGAAAATGCACTCTCCTAAATATCACTGGTCTTAGTCAATTTGATGAAGTAAATAAATCAACTGAATGTAAAAAGCCAGTGCCTCTGAAGATAAAACACTTGAGGCCCTTGCAGGTCTGGTGAGTGCTGAAGACAGACATTTAATAAGAAAAGTCCAGTTTCTAGACAATTTCTAGTCCATCTTAATTGACTTTACAGATGACATGTAATCTGAGATGAATTAATCACTGATGTGCCATTTTTAAGACTTTAAACTGACAAACAAAAATATGGGTTCTGTCAGCACCAGACCTTTTGTATACAAAAACTATCATTTTAATTTTTGTGTTGTCAATTTTACTTGTCTAATAAAATGTGGGCTTATGAATCATCTGTTTTGTAATGTAACTGAAGACTTTTCATTTTCCAAATAAAAAACTTTCTTTGATTAGCATTTTTAAGAGAAAAAAATATTATTTCTGAGATGCCTGTGACATACCTGTTAAGCAATCTTTTTTTCTGCAATTTGACCCCAAAAAGAGAGAGAATGATTTGCCAACATAGCACTGGTTCTATAGTCATGTCACTAATGATTCTACATCTAGAGCTATTTTTATATTTGTTTTCAAAATAAAATCACAATGAGAAATAAAACTACAGTAAATTATGGTCATTCACTGCCTAAGGTAAGTATTGGCTATACACCTTATTCTAATAATTATAAACCAATTAATGCTATGTCTTTTTGTTTACCTATATTCATAACTACATCCTACTTTCTTTGATTTAAATTGACCTATTTCTGATATTCTTTACTTTCATTTGACATTTTTTGTATAAAAAATAATAATAACAATGCCAAACTAAGCATAAAGCTTAGAATTTGTATATTTTTTGTTAATTTTTATCCAAATGTGGGTGGTGTTACTATGAGCTTTTTTAGTTATTTATTTCATTAAAATATATCTGAAAAGAAATAATTTTTTTCAAGTTTCACAATTTTTCACTGACATGGACTACATTTTATGCACATTAATATCATGCCCGAACCCCAAAGACAACAAAAGCCAAACTTGGGTAAACTATTTACAAGGACTTTGGTTTCAGGGGTGCAACATTCAACCTTTGAAGAAGAATGACAAGACCACAAACTCGTGTGATAAACATCTAGCAAGTAAATGTACTTTATCAATAAGACTTCAAAGATGCCAAAATCAATCCATCACTCCTTTGTCCAGCTCACTTCATACTACACGAATTTCTGTTTATAACTGCCGCACATTAACAGTTGACCCCAAATAAAGGTGGCACATTAGCTGGACAAAGACCACCTCACAGAAACATGTCTCTGTTTTTTAACTGGAAAATAACGGAGCACTGGCATGAAAATGCCAGGACTTTTTAGTATGATTGATATTCAGTGGTTAAATTCAAAACTATCTTTGTGATTCCATATTCAGAGTTCAATCAGAACCGTTAATTTTTAAATCAATTTTGTTACTGATCACAAGCAATAAAACGTGCCCAGCTGACCTGTAGATTGCTCAAAGGAGTCAATATTCTCAATACCCTTTGAGTGGAACAGGCAGGAGAATAGGCAGAAAAAAAAAGAACGAAAAGACTTACCTTTGTCTGTGATCTTGAAATAGAAGACATCTCCTGTGGCGTTTGTGTTGTTCTTTAGTATGTAATGGATTCTCATGCGATCAACATCCTCTGAAAAAATAAAGAACATTCCTGTGTATAAAACTTATATATCTAAATATAAATATATAAATATATATAAAAATCATTTTATCCAAAGTAAATGCTACCCAAATCAAAATTGTGATTCAAAACCCTTTAAAACTGTTAATACTATGGGCATTTCTATTTTTTTCTTTCTGCCACAGACTATCACCTTTTCCCCATTAGTATAGGCCACTATTATAATTTGAAAATGGGCCCTGATCCATTCCCAACCATCTGAATGATGGGGCACCTGTTGAAAGACCCCTGTAACTATGAGCAGAATATGACAATGGTTTCTTTTTTCAATCTTAACTAACATCTTTCTTATTATCATCTAATGTTACCGCTAAATTGACTATCAATGTCGGTACACTTCCTCAGTGGGTGGAGGACAGTGCACGGACAACAGACGAGACATTGTTCTGACAACTCGTTATTTCTGACAGCATTTCTGACTGAACAGCTGGGATTTACCTAATATGGAGTGACTTTGAACATTTGTTCAAACACGTCTTTTTAAATGTTTTGTATTTATATAAAATGACCTAATATGGAGTGACTACGTACATTTGTTCAAACAGGTCTTTTTAAATGCTTTATATCTATATAAGGTACAGCACAATCGTCCATTGTGAGGCTTATGACAGAATTTCCAGAGAGAAGCAGGTGTTATGTTTATGCAAAGATCTGACTAGACAAGCTGTCTTAAAACACTGTTTATATTTCACTTTAATTCCAATAATCACACATTTGAAAGTGCTAGAAAAGAAACAACAGTGTTAACAAAAACATGCTCAGTTTTATCAAGGTGGGCATTATACAGCTGCGTAAGATCTCCCAAACTTTTTTTCCTCCAACTATCTATCTCTTGCAGATCACCCCATCAAGACACTATCAGTTATCGCCAGCTGCCATCTTTACAGCTTTCGAGGTATGAGAAAATAAAATGCATGATAAAACAATGGTGGCCACTGTGTCCCACTAAATCCCACCTTGCCATGTTATTATAGCTGGGTTCTATTCCCTTATCCTTTGCCTTTTGTCATCATTCAAAGTAATGAGCCGTAAAAACAGACGGGAACTGTGGTGGGTAACACTCCAGAACCAAGCCTAGACCAAAAGTCAAGTACTTCTTCTGTAGTAAAGGAACTAAATTCTAAGACACACCAAGCATAGCACTTTTTCAAATGTCTAATCTAGAAGTTCAGGTGTGTGTGTGTATGTGTGCNCTTTGTGATTCCATATTCAGAGTTCAATCAGAACCGTTAATTTTTAAATCAATTTTGTTACTGATCACAAGCAATAAAACGTGCCCAGCTGACCTGTAGATTGCTCAAAGGAGTCAATATTCTCAATACCCTTTGAGTGGAACAGGCAGGAGAATAGGCAGAAAAAAAAGAACGAAAAGACTTACCTTTGTCTGTGATCTTGAAATAGAAGACATCTCCTGTGGCGTTTGTGTTGTTCTTTAGTATGTAATGGATTCTCATGCGATCAACATCCTCTGAAAAAATAAAGAACATTCCTGTGTATAAAACTTATATATCTAAATATAAAATATATATAAAAATCATTTTATCCAAAGTAAATGCTACCCAAATCAAAATTGTGATTCAAAACCCTTTAAAACTGTCAATACTATGGGCATTTCTATTTTTTTTCTTTCTGCCACAGACTATCACCTTTTCCCCATTAGTATAGGCCACTATTATAATTTGAAAATGGGCCCTGATCCATTCCCAACCATCTGAATGATGGGGCACCTGTTGAAAGACCCCTGTAACTATGAGCAGAATATGACAATGGTTTCTTTTTTCAATCTTAACTAACATCTTTCTTATTATCATCTAATGTTACCGCTAAATTGACTATCAATGTCGGTACACTTCCTCAGTGGGTGGAGGACAGTGCACGGACAACAGACGAGACATTGTTCTGACAACTCGTTATTTCTGACAGCATTTCTGACTGAACAGCTGGGATTTACCTAATATGGAGTGACTTTGAACATTTGTTCAAACACGTCTTTTTAAATGTTTTGTATTTATATAAAATGACCTAATATGGAGTGACTACGTACATTTGTTCAAACAGGTCTTTTTAAATGCTTTATATCTATATAAGGTACAGCACAATCGTCCATTGTGAGGCTTATGACAGAATTTCCAGAGAGAAGCAGGTGTTATGTTTATGCAAAGATCTGACTAGACAAGCTGTCTTAAAACACTGTTTATATTTCACTTTAATTCCAATAATCACACATTTGAAAGTGCTAGAAAAGAAACAACAGTGTTAACAAAAACATGCTCAGTTTTATCAAGGTGGGCATTATACAGCTGCGTAAGATCTCCCAAACTTTTTTTCCTCCAACTATCTATCTCTTGCAGATCACCCCATCAAGACACTATCAGTTATCGCCAGCTGCCATCTTTACAGCTTTCGAGGTATGAGAAAATAAAATGCATGATAAAACAATGGTGGCCACTGTGTCCCACTAAATCCCACCTTGCCATGTTATTATAGCTGGGTTCTATTCCCTTATCCTTTGCCTTTTGTCATCATTCAAAGTAATGAGCCGTAAAAACAGACGGGAACTGTGGTGGGTAACACTCCAGAACCAAGCCTAGACCAAAAGTCAAGTACTTCTTCTGTAGTAAAGGAACTAAATTCTAAGACACACCAAGCATAGCACTTTTTCAAATGTCTAATCTAGAAGTTCAGGTGTGTGTGTGTATGTGTGCGCACGTGTGTGACGATGCTTGTGCAATTGCAGCCATTTCATATCAGCCATTTCAAAAAGTTGTATTTGACTTTCCTTGTTGTTAATCCTTGAGTTTGCTATATTAACTTAAGCTATATAACATACATCAGCCTGAAATCTTTTTTTAATATTTTTTTAATCATAAGGGTCATTGTGCTCATTTTTACCTTTGCAAATATGGCAAAGTGTTAGCACACACCATATTACATGGACTTTTTCAGGAACACAGCATTACATACCAGATAATATAAATTGCCAAGATTATTTTACTATCATCCTCATCTTTTAATGAGCTTCAACAATTTCCACCAATGTCAGGCTTTGTGTTTACCAAACTTTCACAAAAATTACCCCAATTTTTCTAAGCAGTGACTCATCGTGACTTAAAATGGCACCCAAGTTCAAAATCGAGTGAAAACCCCCATTTTGGTCTAGACTGCACCCCAATCAAGGGTATAATCAGGGAAAGATAAGCAAAGAGGCCCTCCTGAATATGACACCGCCTTTCTCAACCGATGCACACACATAATGCACTTTAACCAAAAAAAGAAATCATCAAAGTTATTCAGGACTATTTTCTCCTTATTCGCGTTCTGTCGGAGTCTTCCGCATCTAACAAATTCAGACGGTTTGGAAACCCTCTTCCATTTGCAGTATCATTTCAATGTTATTAACATATCTCGGATTACAGGGAACAATGTTCACTAGCTGCCTCCTTCAACCCGATATCTGCTTAAATGGCATTAGGCATACTTTGTAGTTTTCTTTCTTGTACTATCAGTATCATGTTTATCTTGTTCACAGCCACTGAACAATGTCACCTATTTTTCACCTGAAATGTTTTTTACAGGGACTGTAAACTGGTATTTGGCACAGAAACAAAAAGAAATTTTGGTGAATTTTTCAGGATAGCCACAAATGGCCCAAGGAAAAATAATTGGATTTTGGTGATGATCCATTAATTAATTAAGTAATAAATATATAAATTAAGTACCCAAGTAATTAATTATGTATACAAAGGATTTTGATGAAATTTTCAGGATAGGTCAAGAATGGGTCAAAAAAGTTATGATTCGATTTTGGTGATGATCCATTAATTAATTTCTTAATAATTAAATTTTCAGAAATGGGTTAATTTCATAGCAAGTTAAAAACACACACAACACCCATTTGTAAATAATGCTGTTAACAAGAAAAGGGCATGTCCCCATAGGCACCAAGTGGACATCCCCAAATGATGGATTCCCCTCCACAACACCCTGAACACGAAAACTGTCATTAAAAAATCTAATAGGTGCAAAGATAAACATGGAGGCATTTAATTTTATTTGTATTCCGACCTGAATGACCTGCTTTTATTCAAGGTGACACATTTAATCACTTGAACAAGGTATCTGACTTACCTGTAACCTTATAATGTCACAGGTAGTTTGCAACAGATCATGTAATTTGTCAATGTCACATTCTGTTACCTTGTAAGTTGTAACCATCATGTCTTGTAAATAGCTCTTGCTAGTAGCAAGTTCTTTCTCTTTCATGTTGCCTTTTAATCAAGATTAGTTAGGTTATACAAACAAGACATTTCTAATCTTATTGAATCCTTCTTGGAAATCACAAAACATATATATAGCAATGTTCCAAATTTTCCCATGCAAAGATATCCTTAATAAATTAAGTGTCCCAGATATTTTATCAAACTTCACCTAGGAGAATACTGGGATATTTTCTAAATTGTGCTGTTGACTCCATGAAATCTACAATATCTTCAGATCTGGTATCAATGAGAGCAGACGGCAGGTCCATTTTTTTTTTTTTACAAGAGAATAAACATCAGTTGAGGGGTAAAAATGGCGTGTCATTGGAAGTATACAAACATCCCTTTTTTCATTTGCCTGGAGACCATCAAGTTTTGATAAGATCTCTTGTTATGGTTCAAACTTCAGATGGCAAGGATCACTTTCTACACAGACAGGAACCAATCTTCTAGAAACAGAATTAGACTGTCTGGTGCTATGCCTGTTTTTAACACACACAGACACGCACACATGCACACACACACACACGCACACACACACACACACACGCACACACACACACACATACAATGGCATCAAAACAACTATCATAAAAGCAGTGAAAATCATGCCTTTCCTTAAGTAACACATCACATTATTCTTTAACTGGCTTCATATTTTTTTGAAGTATGGATCATAATATTATCATATATCTACCTATACATTAAAAATTTCCCCTCGGCATTGTTTTCACTGTTGTACAAATAAGTTCTTAAAAAAAAATAACAAAAATTATTCTAGACTTCATGCTCACCCTCCTCATCAGTGGTTGCAATCATCATCAGTTTTCAAACAAATTTAGTTTAATATGCCAGAATCAAGTTGGAATTTTTTCAAACTTCAAATAATAAACAAGTTCCCATTACAAGTTCAAACCAAGTCAGCGTGCATGTACTGTGGCTGAAAACACTTCCTGGATTCATTGATAATAAAACATACACGCATGCATGCATACTCACATATATACACACATACATGCATGGCATTGTGCACCACACACACACACATACACACACACACACACACACACACACACACACGCACACACACACTCTAAAACCACCCCAGGACATGCAATTCTATTCGGATATGACTGTAATGTTGTACAAAAGACCTGGAAGTAGTGTCAACTCAAGTATTTGGTTTATCCTTAATGTTTGCTACTAATTCAAGTGAAATTCAAACTTTTAGGTGCCAAGCTATTTGTCTGAGTCACTCTAAACTTTCAAGCAAGAATATACAAGGAACAGAATACCCTGATTTATTTTCACAGCAAGCTGATTGTGTGGATGCATTCAAATGTGTTCTCACAATAAATGATTAAGTTCTCATTCCAGGAGTTAGTTACTTGATTGAAAACCCTCTTATTGTCCAATCCCTCTTAATTACACAAATAAACTGCAGTTGGTTTTGCAGAAGAACTAAATCTTAAGTTGGTCTTAATTTCTAGATTGAAACTCTTAGTCTTCTTTGACCACATAAATCAGTTATAATGCAATTAAATACAGAGCTATTTTGTAAATCCTAAATGGAAAACATAACAGTGGTGGGAACTTATCAGACTTGCCCCAAACAGAAGTAGATGAAACTTGTCTATCTCAAAGTTTAAGCCAAATTTCCGTATATACTTATTTCCCAGGACAGTAAAGTGAGTGGTGAGTGAACTTGTAGGTGGATTACATGAAGGAGATGGAATCACANTGCGCACGTGTGTGACGATGCATGTGCAATTGCAGCCATTTCATATCAGCCATTTCAAAAAGTTGTATTTGACTTTCCTTGTTGTTAATCCTTGAGTTTGCTATATTAACTTAAGCTATATAACATACATCAGCCTGAAATCTTTTTTTAATATTTTTTTAATCATAAGGGTCATTGTGCTCATTTTTACCTTTGCAAATATGGCAAAGTGTTAGCACACACCATATTACATGGACTTTTTCAGGAACACAGCATTACATACCAGATAATATAAATTGCCAAGATTATTTTACTATCATCCTCATCTTTTAATGAGCTTCAACAATTTCCACCAATGTCAGGCTTTGTGTTTACCAAACTTTCACAAAAATTACCCCAATTTTTCTAAGCAGTGACTCAACGTGACTTAAAATGGCACCCAAGTTCAAAATCGAGTGAAAACCCCCATTTTGGTCTAGACTGCACCCA